CTTGGAAGATGTCTTGGTTAAGGTAAATAAGATCATATTTCTAGCAGATTTCTATGTAATTGAAATGGAAAACGACCGAATAAATACTTGTTCAGAAATACTTTTGGGTCGTCCATTCCTTAGTACATCAAATACGAAAATAGATGTAAGAAGTGGAATTCTTACAATGGAGTTTGATGGTGAGATCGTAAAATTTATGTATACAAAGCAATGCGACATCTAGATAAAGTTACTAGTATTAACTTTGTTGATATTATTGAACATCCCGTTAATGATTTTATAGAATCTAATTTTATTGATAATTTATGCAGGGAATTGGAGGAATTTGAAAATGAAATCAAAGAGTTCGAGAAAATATTTTCGGTTAATTCTGATTCATGTTTTAGTCCCTCAAATCCTAAAACGTTACATTCAGTTTTGCAGGCTCCTCAAATTGATTTGAAGAAGTTGTCAGACCACTTGAAGAACACATTTTTGGGAGAAATAGATACTTTGCCAGTAATTATTTCAGACAAAATGAAAATGATTTGTAGAAAAGCCTACGAGAATACCAAAATCTAAAAGAAAAAATAAAAGAATTATACGGTTGTAGAATTTCTCATAAGAAAGTTCTTAGTTGGAAAAAGCGTATGAAGTGGAGGAAGCATTTCTCTCGAAACATATAGTCTAAAACAAGTCATCGGGCTAACGACGTTAAACAAAAACGCTTCATAGGAGGCAACCCATTTCATTTTATTTCATTTTATTTTTAGTACACTTTATTTCATTTAAATTTATTTCATTCCATTTTATTTTATCAAATGCTTATTTTATTTTATTTTTCTCCGAACATATTTGAATTTCAATTGGATATACAACCATAGAAGTATTGTTTCATATTTGAAGACAGGAGGCGGCGCATGTTACCATAACCCACCCCATAGGTGCACGATAGCAACTCCCAAGCCAATTTTTTTTGTTCTGCCACCAACTTAAAATTTGGAGGATTTATCTTTGGTTTCATAAGCTTTTGCGAGTCCCACCTTATCACTTTTTTAACCTACAATCAATCTCCTTCCTTTTAAGCTTCTCATGGGTCCTATTTATCCTTTTACCATTTTTATTTAATACCTTTAATAATTTAACAATCTCAATTCTTTCACACTTTGACAGGCCAAACTTCCAAATTAACCCAACTTCTTTTTATTTTCTTTTTCTTCCAATTTTCACTCACCATGGACCCTACCTATCACTATCTTATTTTTCAAATAATTAAAAGCCAAACCCCACATACTTTACCCAGCCGCACAACACCACCCATTCCTTACCCTCTCTTTTCTATTTTCTTAATCGACCGATTCACTCTAACCCACCGCCCATACTGTCGGATGTTGTTTTCCTTGTGCCAGTTATTGTAGCTCGTCTGCCGCCTATTGCACTACCGAATTCTCTTCTTTCCTCATAGTGGTGCAAACGCGAGACCAAACAAGTCTTCACTGTCACACCTCACCTCCTCCGCCGCTTATTCACAATCGTCATTTATGGTCGCGACCGCCATTAAACCAGAGGAGTAATTATGTTTTATCTCTTATGTTTTTCTATTCATATTGGGACAATATGGTCTAAGTGAGGGGGAAGAATTTGTTATCAAATTTTTTGCTTGCTTTTTTGATTGTTTGGAATTAAGTTATTCTGATATTGATGTGTTTGAATCTTTAGTTGCTTATCTTGAAATTCACTTTATACTCTTTCTTCCTTTTGGACTGTGACCATGTTTTGATCGATCTTAATTTGTATGACGTTTATTGGTATAACTGGTGATTTTCTGCTAAGTATTGATATTTCATGCATTTGTTGATGGAGACGAACTTCACTCAGTGCATATAAACCTTTCTTGTGAGATTTGAACCTAACGAGCATATATTTTCTTTCTTGCTCATTGTTTAATTGAGTGTGCTGGACTAATTATGATATTCTAGAATTCATAATCTCAGTACATATCGAGACTACATGTTGGACATAATGTTTTAACATAATAGGGATACTTAGGATTAAACTCATTTTTTCCAAAAAATCTACCCGTTTATATATCCACTAGTAAACCACTTTTTGAGCATTTATCCTTTTTCTTTGTTTTAAACCACATAATTAAACACAAACCTTTATTTTTATCCCTCTTTTCTACCCTTATCAAGACAAGTAGACTAGTTGTTTACATTGATTTATGTTCTTTATTTTATTATTTCATTATTTTATTATTTTTTTCATTTTTATATTTACAAAAAATGGTTCAAACAACAATACAGTGCATAAAAAAACAAGAGGAAAACAAAAAAAATCGAAAAAGATAAAAAAATGTGATTTATATTTATGTTTATATGTTTACTTTTATTTTATTTTATGAAGATTATAAATAATTTGTAAATCTCTTATCTTGGTATTTAAACCAATTATCATGGCATTTTTCCTACCCTAACCTAAGCCCCATTACACCTTGATTTAAAGCCCCCTTGATTATTGCATTATGTTTATTTTTTGTAGTGAAGACTTGATTGGATTCTAATCCTATGGAATATCTTGGTTAGTTTCAGTTTGAGCGATTTCATTTTACCTTAAACACTTTGAGCGGATATGTGTGAATCTTTGTGAGGTATTGAGTTATGTTTCATTAAAGTTGGCAAATAATTGGGATAGCTTGCTTGCTTAAAATTTTTCTTAGTTGTATCTTTGCTTGATTGTATCTTGAATTCGGCAATTGTCATGGACTTAGTTCGATTGGAAGTTTAAGGAATAAATTGAAATTGAAGATGGCAACTTGTAATTTTGATATGTTAATTGAGGAATGCTTGAGGAAAAACATTGAATAAGTGAAGGGAAATTTGACAGGTGTTTTATTTAGTTATTATTTTTTCTTTAAATTGCTCCTTAATTGTTAATTTTTGTGGTTGATTTATTCGTTTTGATTCATTTTTTGTGCAAGACACTAGATTCTGGAAATTGCATTAAAAGAACATAATTATGCATTTTTTTTATTTTCAGAATCAAGGTTGGATTAGTGGCCATGACGCATCTGACGAGGCAATGAGTTAGCACCTTGCAAAAAGTCCAGTCAGCGCTTCTAGAAGGATGAATGAGTCTTCCGCGTTTTTGAAATTCGAATTCAAGTTAAACTCATGTTTTTAGGATTTTAGTTTAAATATTTTAAGAATTATCTTTAGGAATTATCTCTTATTTTTATGAATTATATTTTCTTTGTTTTTAGGATTTTATAAGGCTATAAATATACTCTCAGGGTAAGTCTAGAAACACAATTCATAAATCATTATCTTATTTCCTCTGGTTTTATGAAAGTTTTCTTTTCTTCTCCAAAGTTTTTCTTTGTTTTATTTTTATTTTTAAAGATGCTAAGTATGATTGTCATACTTAGCTAATTTCTCCATAGCCAAGGACTGAAGCGATGACTCAATCCCTATTGTGAGGATTGAAAAGCACTAAAATAACTTCGAGTTATTTTCAATTTTTTGGAGGAATGATATTGGTAATCGACCTAACTTTTTTAAAATCAAAACGTTTTTTTAATCAAAAAGTGCTCGTTGATTCGGAAGGTATTCTGATTTATAGTTGGGAGGAAGAATCGGCTGGTAGCAAGTTCGATTTCCTGTGAACACACTTAGCGACGATCCGTTAAGGGAAATTGAGATCGGGCTCGATTCTCATTGAGGCAATATAGTTTGAGTCGGGTTTTTTTCAAATCTATAAAACAGGTTGATGCTGACGACGATAGTCGTAGTTGGTCTCCATAAAGGACTGATATCCAAAAATAGATTTTGGGTTATCGATTCACAAGAGAGAAAAACAAGTTACAGGGGTTGGGCTCTGTAGACTGTAACCGAAAAATAACCAAAGCAAAAAATTATTCCAATGATCAACTGGAATCTGAGGTAAAAGTTGAAGCCCGAGACTAATTTCACTATAAGTTTTTCTTTATCTAATACACTTTAAATTTAATTATTTATTTATTTTATCATTATCTTTTATTTTAAAACAATTTTTAAACTCTTCACTTAATCTCATCCAAAACTATACCTTATTTCATCCTTATCTAAATCAAAAAATTTACTTCATCAGAATCGATGTGAACCAACCATGTTTCTCTCTTTTATTCTCACTATTTATTTATTTATTTATTAAAAAATTAAAATTATTTTGATAATAAAACGACACTCATCACTGTAATTATTTGTTAGTTTGAGGAAAATGCTTTAAACAGTTAAATCTGTCAATTCGTTATCACATGGACTGCTACTTCCTATGATTATGAGAGTTTGTTTTGCTATGGTCATTTAAATGGAAATAGGGATGCTTGTTGCACCCTTTTACAAGTCTGTATTTGGCAGTATCATCCATTTTCCTTCGAGTTGCTCCCAGACCATTTGAGGGGTTAGTATGATGTAGACATTGATACTGATTTTTCAAATTACTAAAACTGGAACCCATTAAAGAAACTGCATATCCTTGGAGAGGAAACTGCATATCCTTAGAGAGGACAGTTTTTCGATAAAGCTGTTTTGTGTTGACCTCTTCAAACCAACTGTAAAATAAATATAATTTTTTATTTCGAATTTTCAGCCATAAAATCATTATGATTAGATTTAATAGATGTGATTGATTGACATAGATTTACGTAGGCAGGTTAGAAAACATATGAAAAGGCAGTAATTTCCCTCCGAGTGTACAGTAAAATTCTTATATATGAACACGTAGAACTGAGTTGGAGCGCCTATCAAGAAAGGAAAAATATAAAATTCCTTCGATCCAAAACCAAACTCAGGAAAATTGTCATCTCTTCTTTTATTGCTTCGTAGAATTATCGTAAAATTAAATAAAAAAGGGTATTGGTCGCCGACATCCACCGGCTTCAACAGTTGACCGGTTGACGAGTTCTAGTTGACCATTTCAACGCACAATAATACAAAAATGATAGTATTTCTTTCAAAATTTCTCTTATTGCTCTGGTAAACACCCACCCCACTGGATTTTTATTGCTGTTACTTTCTGATTTTCTCATCTTTGAATAATTGTATAAAGGTCAGTTGCGAGCTCATAAAAATCAAATAGCCACACAGTTTTCCTTCTTCAGTTCTGATTTGCTCTCTCTGTGTAAGAATTTACCTGGGAAATTTCCTTCATCTTATTTATTTCTATGGTCTTTAATTCGTCAACCATGTCTCCTTGTTCCAGGATTTCTATAGAAAGAAAACATTTTTCTGAAACTTGATTGGACGGGCTTAGATTTAGATTTTCGTGCATCAATAAGACGAGGGGGACGCCTGGTCAATTTCGATGCACTGAAATAGTTAATATTTAATATAGATAGTAAATAGTTTTCAATCTTGTACAGCTACTGAGGAAAATGAGTATGGGGAATTAATTGCATCAACAAACTCTGAATTCCAGTAAATTAACATTGCCAATGTCCTTCCCCCCCCCCCCCTCATTTCCTTCTTGTTTCTTGGACATTAAAAGTTGTTATTTTGAGGTGATGACGGGAATTTTTTAAACAAGGAAAAGTAGTTTTATAATTTGTGGGTGGGACAAGTGACATTAGCGTCGATATATATATTGCTTTATAAAACTTCTATCTTACATATTTATTTTCTATTGGTGGTCTGCCTTGTTTGGTTCTGTGTTCTATTTTCCTCTGTTTTTCACGTATGCAGAAAATGGATGCAATTGCAGCACCCCCTTCGTTCTACCAGTTCGGCCGTCGTAAACGTATTCATCTGGTTCGTTTCCACTAATTTTTCTCTAAACTTGACGGAATCAGCACTACTTTCCTACTTTGAATCTAGGCTATATATATATATACGAATTACAAAGGATTTGTATGAACAATTCAATAGGTGAGGCATGCACAAGGAATGCATAATGTAGAATCAGACAAGAGTCGTGATCCACTGACATCATTTCAATTTTTCGATGCTCGACTCTCGCCGCTGGGCTGGCAGCAGGTGAGTAGAGCCAATTGACAGCTTTGGCAATTAAAATCTGTATTTTTTTTCCCAGTATTGTTATTCCGGGATTAATTACATCTAAGTACGCCGTTTAAATAGGTTGTTGATCAGCGGAAAATTGTTCGTGAAAGTGGCTTACTTGATAAGATTGAAGTTGTCATCGTTTCCCCCATGTCAAGGTACCTAATTTTCTCATATCTCACAATCACCCACCCCTCAAGTCAAATAGAGGAAGACGAATTTTTAATTTTTCATATAATTTAATTATTTTTTATTGATGATTTAAGTCCATCCCTAAATATATATTACAATCATTTTATTGAAAATAAAGTTCACTCCTCACATAAAATTTTACATCCATCTTTACTTTAAAATTTTTTCATGTTAAAAAATTTAATGAAAATTCTCCAATTTTAGATGACGATTAGTCTATTATTTTAAAATGATTGAACTGCAGAACATTGGAAACAGCAGTTGGAATTTTTGGTGGTGAGGACCAACCGGATGGATTACACGTTGCTTCATGGGAGGAATCAAATGTAGAGAGTCGTCCGCCAATGGTAGCATATGAACTTTGTCGAGAGCGAATGGTACGTCGCCGACGTAGCTTGGCCTTTTCCGTTAGACTTACGCATCATTTTAACAGCTACGCATTAATGGTTGGACGATGTTTGACATTATAATTCATTCATCCACTCTTTAATCAAGCAAGCTTGGACCATGATGCTATATTCCCTCCCCGTGGAAGCTGCACTCTTGTTTGGTTGGAAAAAAATAATAACAAAAGAAATGTATAATTATATTCAGAGTTCATGATTGTCTCTTTTAACAATATCATCTTTAAAATTCAAATTTACATCCTTTCTTGAAGAATATAATATATCTTACTAAATACGTCCAACATTTATTAATGTTTGTATACTATTTTACGTTATCAACGTGAAATCTTTTATCTCGTGTTGCAATCTGTCGTATTAAAAAAATAGAAAGAAGTTACTGGATTTTGAAAGTTTATGTTCCAATGGAGTGCAGGGAAAATATGAATGTGACAAGAGAGGAAGCATCAGTCAGTACCGGTCTCGTTTCCCGGCGGTTGATTTTTCATTGGCAAGTACTACTTAATTCATATTCTCTGTCAATTAAATAGCTTGCACTTCCATTCACATTGATTAACACAAATACTTCACCAATGATCAGATAGAAGATGAAGATGAGGTTTTGTGGGATCCAAATGAAAGAGAAACTCATGAGTCAGTCAACGCTAGGGCCATTAAGTTCCTCAAATGGTGAGTTCAAATCCAATTTAATTTGTACCGAAATTCAAATCCGAATCTCTAAATAAAAGGAAATTCAATCATTTAGGTTGTGGGAAAGGAAAGAAAAGGAGATAGCAGTGGTGAGCCATGGTGTGTTTTTGCAGCAAGCAATGATCGAACTTATTCAGAATAAAAATGGCTACACTTTGCCCCTCAACAATAGCTATGATCCATGCAGCCGGTCAGTATCATTTCACCTCAACCATTCGATTCATCATCAACCGCTTAATTTACTCAAATACGCCTGACCTTTGTTTTTCTTCTTTTCATAATATACGTTAGGTAAAAATGGATTTTATAATTTTTTCCTTATATCTATGATCTCCTTTATCATATTTAAAACATATAAAATATTAGAAACATAGCCCCTCTTGGTACTTGCAAAGAGTTTAATTTCATACATGTTTTTTTTTTCTTTTTAAATCTTGACTTTTGCTTTGACCGATGCATGTGGAAACCGTGTAGCTCTATTTTAATTTGACTATGATCTGTTCATGCAGCTTTAAAAATTGTGAAATTCGTTCGGTGATCACTTTCCATGAAAGGTGAATAAATCTATTTCAATTGAAACTTAATATAAAATAATATGTTAAAGCGATAAACATGAGGAAAGTTGTGTAATTTTTTATGTTATCTGAACTGGAAAATTGTAGCACGATGGGATTGGGACCGGATTCCATGATATGTAAGCAGCAATGTTGTGGAAGAATTGAAAACGAAGTGCGAGAATCTATCAAAGACAAAGTTCCAGTGGAGGAAGTGGAAGTCGTCACTTAATGATTACTTCATCTATCATTTCAAGATCGTTGAACTCCCACCGTTGGATCATTTAGCTTGGTGCTTTTCGAAGAAATTGTATCTACTACTGTTTCCTTTCTTTTTCATTTTGCCGGATTCAATTTTAATAATGTGAAATCAACAAACCGTGTGGTGTGCCGTTGCATGCAACCGACTTATAGCTGAGAATGGCAGGCAGGTCGGCTTATTACTTTATATTTGGACGGCCATAGGACAGTAATTGTGCTCAATTTTGTTTCTCTCTTTCTCTTTGGACTGCAAGTAAAAAAAAAAAGAGAAACTCTGTGCATGGTAATTATAGCACGTGGTTAAAAGGTATTTTAACATTCGACATAACTCATGTCATCGCCCATGGCAGTCGTTTCAGTACACCGGAAGGCTTTTTTTTTTATTGTACATAGACTGAGTAGTACTCCATAGTTGTTTTGATTGATGAAAGGCCACTTAATTAGTTACCCTTTGGCTTTCTACAAGAGGAAGCCATTTTTTAGCTGCACAAATCTTGATGTAATTGATCAAGTGTTGTTAGGTATGTAAGATTAGTTTACTTCTTACGTTATCATTTAGATAAATATTAGTTAAAAATATAAAGATTAAGTAATTACTGGTTTACTTGAATTATCAAATGGTTAAACTCCACCTCCACTATACAAACAATAGAAGAAGATGTTTCATAATAAAATTGCAAAATACAAACAATGGTTAAACTCCACGTCCACCGTAGGCTAAGGAAATCGTTAATTTTCCTAAGAATTATCAAGAGCTGTAAATTCTATCAAATTAACGATTTCCTTAGCCTAAGGTGGACGTGGAGTTTAACCATTGTTTGTATTTTGCAATTTTATTGTGGAACATCTTCTATTACCAATCGGTTCTTTAAACCCAGAAATTCAATCCAAGGTTGATTCACATTAACGAGATGCTAGGAGCTGATGTGCTAGAGAATCTGTAATACCCTAATTTTGTCCGGGCAATTTAATTCATTTAAAGATGCTTGAGAATTAATTTGGAGGTAATCGTGCTCAAATGAGAATTTAATTCAAATGATGAATGGAAGCTTGCATTTTGGGGACAACATGAAAATCAAGAAACTTTTGTGCTTAATTGGATTGACATCGTATATGTTTCATTTTGGAGATCGAGATACAAATTGAAATTCAACCCCAAATTAAGTGTTTAAAGTCCACTTATAAGTCCAAAATAGATTACAAATATTAATGGACCAATTACAACCCAAATTAATGACAAGCTCAAGACAAACCCAAGACCCGAGCACCCCACGTGAAGGCCTTGTTCTGCTCCATAACACCCGGTCACTAGCTGTGCAAATCTCTCCCACGTGATGCACCGCAATTGATCAGCATCCATGACTCCCACGTGGATCATTCCAACAACAACCCCCAGAAGCCCATGCTGCTCACGCGTGGAGACAAGGTTCGACTCCCGAACTGCTGCCCATGCTCCGCTACGGCATCATCCAACCTCGATATGGAACACCACGCCTTACTCCATTGACCAGAACTGAGCAGCTTGGTTCCCCAATGCCACTAGCACCATAGTCGAGCAACCCGTGCCCATACTGCCTGTCACCCACAACCAAGCGCTTAACGTGAAACTCCATTACAGTCACCGGCCCTGCAAACAAACATTTTCCAAGGTTTGGGGCAGTGGGAGGAATCAATAAAGTTATCAGTCATAAAAGATACAAAAGAGGGGGTCACGGACGAGGGGAGTCTGGGGATGGGATGATAAAGAGAAAACAGAGGCAGCAGTGAAGAAAAAAAGGGACCCATCAAGAACAGAACCGAAAATTCACCAACAAAGGAGGGTTCAGGAACAGAGAGGAGATGAGCAATCAAAAGAAAGAGGAACGCTTCTAAGGAATTTTACAAAGAAATCAATACGAAAGAAAAACGAGAGGTGTAATCTCTGAATCCAAAAGCAGAGAAATCAATAAAATTATACATTTTCAAGGTATTATATTTGCATTTCAACTGGAAATTTCATTTCAAGTATATATGTTGTTGAATAAATTAAAAATTGAAACTCAGAATAGAAATAGGATTAATTTACCTTCTGTTCGGGGCTCTCTCCCTAATTTTCTGAGAAATCGAGCGATGAAGTCTGCTTTCCTTTGTTTATTTCGAATCAATATAAAGAAAAGTTTTTATTAGTAGTCGATTTCACCAAGCAGTGTGCAGGGACTTTTCCCTTCGTTTTCGTGAAAAATCAAAATACAATGTTAAGAGGGAGAAAGGTTGAGTCGTTTACCTGGTTGGTTTGGAGTCTGTCGTCGGAGTCTCGCCGTAGTAGGTCGCCGGAGATAGAAGTACATGAAGGGTCGGAGACTTACGAGCCTTAGGAGTCGTTCATGGTGTTTAGGGTTTAATTTAGCAGGTTTTTGATTTGGTGGTCTGAAAGCAAGGTGTTAAGGCTCGGTTAAGGAGGCTTCTGGTTAGGTTTTAGGTCGGGGTTCTTCATCGGGGCTTTTTGGCCTTTCATCGGGGACTTTTGGAGGCAGCAACCGCGGTGACTGCTACGGCGGAGGTGGGGAAGGCCACGGTCGCATTTAGGGTTGAGGGAAAGAAAACGAAGAAAGAAGAAAGGGTTGAGAGAAAAAAAGACGGCTGGGGGGGGCTTTGGTCGTTTAGGCTGAGAAGATAATGAAATTAGGGTTAGAAACTTACCCTAATATCACATATATTCGGTGACCAAAACGGCGCCGTTTAGAACACATGCCTAGGAGAGGTTTAACCACGCCGCAGCCCCCTCTGGTTCTCGGATATTTCGTTTTAACCCTTGCTTCAATATTCTGTAAATTTCCAATTTGGTTCTCTAGCTTTATGTTTATTACATTTCAGTCCAAACTGTTGATGTGTTTAATTTCTGTTCTTTAGATATTAGACTTTAAGGTTTTTGCATGTTTCATCTTAGTCCTTGAACATAGTTATTTTGAATTATTATATGTTTGTACATTTCCCATGCGGTTGTTGAAATTTACATTTTGGTCCAGCATGTAATTGTTGGTTTATTTCCTAGGTAGTCATGCATTTATTCAGCTTAGTCCATTTTAGTCTAAATAGAATATTTTATGCTTTTAAATTTGGTCTTCATATTTTACGTGTGTTATGTTTCAGTCCTCAATTTGATATTGCCGTGTTTTTTTGATTTTGTCTTGTAAGTTTGTGATCTTTTAATTGTAGTCCCACATGAATTGTATTTATTTTTCTTGTTGTTTAGACATTAAGGCTTTTAATTTTTGCATGTTCCTTTTTAATCCTAGTTGCTTAGGTTTTATTTCTATGTTATTCCTTTGTAATGTTAAGTTGTTTTATTTCAACTTTTTGGTTTATCATAGTATAATATTAGTTTTTACCTAAATAATTATTTTATTTGTAATTAAGTCATTAAAGTTATGTTTCAGTATTTAGTCCTTCTGTTTAAAAGTTGTAATTATTTTTTAAAATTTATAGTTTGAAATGTTAAGTTTTCTTCTTTGTATTTCAGTCATGTTTGTATATTATGTGTTAATGCGCATGGTTCTAATTTTCAATTAAAATATACACGTAGATAATTTTCACATGTCACATTGCATGATAGCTTAATCATAATATTTAATTAATTTTTGCATGTTACCCTCATATGCATAACTCGATCTAATCACATAACCGGATTAAGGGCAATATCCTTTTAATTTAAAACTGTCAGAATGGCTTTTCTTAACTTACAGGAAAGTTGTTTTTGACGATTTTAAATTACAAGTGTATCCCATCAGTGACATTAAAAAGTTCGATTTATTCACTTTAAAATTTGAGAGTGTAAGAAAAAGAAATGTTCGGCTATTTAAATTTATGGAGTAAAGGTCGTTAGAACTGACCTAAAGGTCTGGTCTCAATATTTTTAAATAATCGAATATTCTTTATCTTTCTAATGACTTGGTAATTTTAATTTAACTTACTTTGTTTCTTTTTCATACTATAAAATTCGTCATTTTGTTGTTTTAAGGGATCAAAAAATTAAATTAAAGTCGAACTTGTAAAATTCGTTGCAAAGACAATAATTAATCGACGAGGTACCGATTTAGGGCGCTGTGGGGGTGCTAATCCTTCTCCACGCGTAACCGACTCCCGAACCCATATTTTGGTAACATAGACCGCAAATTTGTTGTTTTAATTAAAATTAATTTTTATTTAAAATGACAATATTTTTGGGTGCCCAATCACACCCTAATCAAGGATTGGTGGCGACTCCTCGAACCATATGTTTTTATCGTAAAGGGATTTCCAAATTTTCGAAACGAGAGGTTTTCTAAAAATCACATTGTTTTTAATTAAAAATTCAATTGGAAAGAGAATAATTAAAAATGACGCGGTTTTTCAAAATCTCGCCCCACGGTTTAAAAATCGTTTCGACAGCTTGGCGACTCCGCTGGGGATTTTTAGAGAGTCAGGCCTATAGTCGATTAATTAATTGTCTTTGCAAACGAAAGTTGTAAGTTCACTTTAATTTGATTTTTGATCCCTGATTTGTTTTAAATTGTTGTTTGCATTTTAATTTGCGTTTTAATTAACAAATAAATAGTTGTACTAACGTGTGATTTACATGTTTCAGTTTTTTGACCTTCACTTTAGTTTGTTGTGTTTCTTGGATCGAGGGAAAGGATTATAGGTTTCTCCTTTACAGTCGCAACAACCATTTTGATATTTAGAGCCTTCTAACTGTGCTCTGTCCCGTTAGGTAGGGGTGAACGCTAGGCTTACGTGAGAAAAATTACTTTTCTCCGCATGGGCTTTAGCAAGTAACCTCTGGGGTACATGTCTTATGTTTACGAGTGAAACATTGAGTTTCCTCGCATGGACATAGGGAAATGTATCCTCTCGAAATTGAACTTGATCCGTTCTAAGCCTATAATGGGCGAGGATCAAGGGTTTGGCAAGCCCAAGGGGGCACCAGCAAAGGACAATTCGAGGACCCTTTTAGAAATACTGAAACTCTGCCCATCTTATGTTGAATTTCTGTCTGCAGACACGAAGGGGAAACTCATTCTAATCTTTTCCTCGAATTTATTTTTTGCAATAAGTATGAGAACTAGAAAAGCATGCGGTTAGGTTTTATATTTTCGCACAAAACATGTGAATTAGATACCATGCGGTTAGGATCTTTTATGAATGACAAAACATGTGGGTAGATATCATGTCGGGTAGGATCTACTAAAGCATGATTGGGTAGCCAGCATGTGAGGGTAGGTTTTATGTGATGTTTACGGTATCCACTATCTTGTTGTTTATCTTATGTGTATTAACCCGTTTTCGTTCTATGTCTATTTTATTGTGATTTTATTGCATTTGCATCCTCATGTCATCGAGGGGTGTTAATTCACAAGTGGTTGACTAACAAGAAGGCTGACCATATTGAGGCAAGAAATTCTCCACTATGTAGTCAAAACCAGG